TAGTGATTTGAATATTTGTCCATGATATTCTCATTGATGTCAACCCGGGTATTAACCAGTCAAAAGTGACCATTCGTTCATTCGACTAGATGATTGACTTGGCATAAGCTATTAAAGTTTCTTTTAAAATTCAAGGACAAAAAGAAATATATCATTATATTACAGCCATAATAATTGTTTGGGGGTCCTTTAAAATGTGTGTCCTGTTAGAATAAAAAATACATTTTCCAAGTTTACCAAGCTTTATTTAAATTAAAATAAAACTTGAGAGAGTTAAGATTTTTGACATTGGACTAGGGATAAAGACCGAGTAAGCAGAATGATTTCGCTTACCGGAAATATAATTATATGGAGTGATGAATAGTATTATGAAAAATTATATAAGAATCCATATGTTTGGATTTAATTCGAATCCTGGACTATTTTATAACGGTACGGCACAAAGAAACAATACTAAATTATATTCTGATCAGTTTTTTTTTCGTGGATTGCCCAAAATATAGGACGATTATTATAGGTTATTAGAGTCCTTATTCCGACAACGTTTTGCATTTCTTCAATAATACAGATAAAGTAATATCCAATGCAACATAATCAAATACATAAACTGTACTGTGTGCTTTCTACGTGTCATTTCCATACATAACCTGCACTGTGTGCTTTCTACATGTCATTTCCATACATAACCTGTACTGTGTGCTTTCTACACGTCATTTCCATACATAACCTGTACTGTGTGCTTTCTACACGTCATTTCCATAAATAACCTGTACTGTGTGCTTTCTACACGTCATTTCGATACATAACCTGTACTGTGTGCTTTCTACACGTCATTCCCATACATAACACGTACTGTGTGCTTTCTACACGTCATTTCCATACAAAACCTGTACTGTGTGCTTTCTACATGTCATTCCCATACATAACCTGTACTGTGTGCTTTCTACACGTCATTCCCATACATAACATGTACTGTGTGCTTTCTACACGTCATTTCCATACATAACCAGTACTGTGTGCTTTCTACATGTCATTCCCATACATAACCTGTACTGTGTGCTTTCTACACGTCATTCCCATACATAACATGTACTGTGTGCTTTCTACATGTCATTTCCATACATAACCTGTACTGTGTGCTTTCTACATGTCATTCCCATACATAACCTGTACTGTGTGCTTTCTACACGTCATTTCCATACGTAACATGTACTGTGTGCTTTATACACGTCATTCCCATACATAACATGTACTGTGTGCTTTCTACACGTCATTTCCATACATAACCTGTACTGTGTGCTTTCTACATGTCATTTCCATAAATAACCTGTACTGTGTGCTTTCTACATGTCATTTCCATACATAACCTGTACTGTGTGCTTTCTAGATATCATTTCCATAAATAACCTGTACTGTGTGCTTTTTACACGTCATTTCCATACATAACCTGTACTGTGTGCTTTTTACATATCATTTCCATAAATAACCTGTACTGTGTGCTTTCTACACGTCATTTCCATACATTACCTCTACTGTGTGCTTTCTACACGTCATTTCCATACATAACATGTACTATGTGCCTGCTACATATCATTCCCATACATAACATGTACTATGTGCCTTCTACATATCATTTCGATACATAACCTGTACTATGTACTTTCTGCATATCATTTCGATTCATAACCTTTACTGTGTGCCTTCTACATATCATCTGCATGTCAATAGCTTAGGAACTGGCTGTAATACGGTTTATAAAAGTTATAGTTTTGAATCTCGATGAATGTATCGTCTATACAATAGAATAAAACGAATATATTCTATTTCAAGATGTCTATAGGATAGTTGGATTTTGAGGCCAGATATCAGTACATATACCTGTTATGTGTTCAAGGTAATGATTGTTGACGTTGCATATATCGTCATTTCTTTTGATATTTTCATAATTCAGAGAGATTGTCGATTTTGCTATTTATTATATAGGCTGTTTAAATTGACGCATAAGTTAAAAGTAAGCATCAAAAGATATAAAGAAAGTGAACAATTCTTTAAACTTTGTAGAGGACATTTAAAGATAATGATTCATAAACGTTTTAAGAGAGAGGTAACTTTTTTTAGGGCTCGTGTAATATTCGTAAGTTCTGATGAAGCCATACAAGATCTTGAGTATTTTAAATAAAGATTCAAATCTTCGATAATGGTAATATAATACAACCTTTAAAAACTTTCAAGTAAAATTTTCCAGAATTGTACTGCATTCTAGTTTTATTTATTTCGATAATTTTAGTAACAAACATAATTTTAATTTAAATGATTAAAATATCTAAATTGCTTTACATTTTCATCGTCGATCAGCACAAATGTTTTTAAAATGACACTTTGCATTTTTCAAGTAATACTGAAACTAATTTTTGCTGAAAGTGTAAAATATTTAGTAATTGATTTTGTTTAATATAAAAGACACTAATTGAAGACTTTCAATTCTTTATTAATTTTAAACATTTCATGATTAATAAAGTTCAGAAATATGTATCAAGATGTAGATATTTCTGTAAAATACTTGTATTTCAATATACATATAACTGGCTTTGTTTTTGTTAACTTTAGTAAACATTTTGAATTGATTGTTCCACGCCTGTGGCATCGTTAGAATCGAGACAAAGTAATTTATTTGCCATTAGTTACTTCCGTTAACAATCCTAAGTGCGTCTGACTTTTAAAACTAATCGTCTAAATTTGACAAAATATTCTTTGCTTTGTACAGATTTCAGTTTTCTAATAGTAAATCGTTACCTGTTAACATAAGTGATATTTTTTTTGATTCGGAAACATCGTCAAATCTTAATAAAATAGCTTTCAGTAAGGATCTACAAAAAAAGCATTAGTTTGGTTTTCTCTCAGAGTATGTGTCAGTAATTGTGAGGTGACGTATACCTATGATACTTGTTAATGTGGACAATTTCATTTGTCTTTTACGATACCAGCTAGTTACTTTAACTTATGACTGTTCCATTTAGGACTTTCCTTTGTTGTAGGCCTTGCTATAAATTCCAGAGCTTCAACTGTCCCATTAATTTTTGAAAGCATGAATGCTATTTTACAATTTTGTTATGCTTGTTAACTTTGCAATAACTGCAGTAATTTTTGAAGTCGTAAACTTTGAAAAAATACAGTAAATTACTGTATTTCGTGGTGTACCAATTATTGTGGATTTCATTTATCGTTGCAATGTTTGGATTTACCGCCCGAGTTGGTACTTATCGTTTAATGGAAAATGATTTTCTTCTTAAAATCTACGAGTTTAAGTACCTATAAGTCTTTAATTTATCACAGAATTACCAAAATTGGCATACACGAAAATAGGTGACTTTAGGTATACATTTAGAGTCTTTTACCATTGTCTTCTTATATGGCTCATCGCTTGGATTTCAGAAGATCTGTTGTTTTTTATAATGTTGTTTATCTGTAACCGGAACCTAATGATATTAATTTTGCAATATTTACTGAAGATATAAATTTTGAAGTGTGATATTACTTGTTTTCTTTTTTATATTAGCTTCAATACAAATTTAATTAAATAGTTTCTCTTTCGTGATTCTCTTCACCACTGTATTCAAGTTCTATACATTTATTTATATATGTGTGTAAATGTGTTGTTTGGTAGTTGACTACAGATGAATATAATGGGTTTCGCCGAGTTAAAATTTAATAGTTTAACTGCTTTTCATTGGATAGACTACATGCCTGACTGTTTATTATCAACCAACGAAATTGTTTTTCCTTTCTATCGAAAAACTCGTTTTGAACGAAGAATGTTGTTTCGTTCAGCTGAAGATTGTGCTGATGTATAATTAATTTTGATTTCCTTAGAAAAAAATCATAACTGCTTATAAGAACACAGATTCAAGAGTAGCGTTTGCGAATCTCGTTGAAATAAAATCTTGGGATTTTTCATATTATTTGTCACATATTGATTCCTATTATAAGAAAAATGTCTTTTTTCCCAGGGCTTCGTAATATGTTTGCGTTATCTTTCACCGCAGTAAATATTGTTTTGATATTTTTGACAGACCAATGAAACAGTCCAAGTAAAAATGAACTCTATGCCAATGAGAACATAAACGAACAAGTTGCTTATTCAGTTGCATGTAAATACGAGAATATTAGCTTTATTTTTGTACTCCAATTCTAGACACAGACTGTATGAGAATCAAAATTATTCCTCCCTAGATAGGATCTCTGTAAGATAGATTTCTATATTTTTTTTATTAGCGCATTGGTAGGGGTTAGTGTTACCCTCGTCCATATCTTCATTGTAGCATGTCATCTTGGTCTGCGTTAGGCACGTTTCCCTCTTTGGTGGAACATCTATGTTTTAGTTTCATTTTCTAACTTTAGGCATGAGCAAAATTAAACCATTTAATTTTTCAAAGATGTTTTACAATTAAACCATTTAATTTTTCAAAGATGTTCTACTAATTGTTGTTAACAAATTTATAAATGGGGAGTATTTCGTCATAAAAACTGTTGGAGGTGGTAGGAAAGAATGTATTGTAAGCAATTAACATTGAAATCAAATCGATCCATTCTTTCTTAACTTGCATCAGCGTCACACAGTCGTAATGATGATGACGAAATAAACTGCATTAGATTTTGTAATTATGTCAATAAATTAACATCCATTAAGACGATGCAGACACTGATAAAAATAATACAGCATTTAAATTTATCTGTAAGTTTAACTAGTAGTGCATAATTAGCACATTTTAAAGTGTTGAAACTTGTCATTGTATCATTTTATTGTAATCAACGGACTTTTTTAGTTCTATTACAAAATCTTTTATTGCATTCCAGCATTAAATACATCAACGAGGGCCGAAGGTTTATATTTATTGATCGTTGAATCAAATGTTTTTCTTTTAACTTTAATATTTAATAAAATGTGCTATGAAGACGATTTGGACAATGACGGGACTGTCTTATCCTCTTAGATTGAAGGGAGCTTCGGTATCTCATTTGGAAGAGCGTAGAATTCGTAATCTACTGGTCACGGGTTTAATACCCGTCCAGGCCAGCTCAGGTCAGCTGCCTCAGCGTGTTTTTGGGAAAGGCACTAAACTCCCATTCCTCGGCATGATATAGTCAACAATCTTTTAAAAGCGCAGTAAATCGGCAGAAAAAGTATAATCTTTTTAATGGAAGCGTTGAGACTTGCCTGCGCAAAAATGTATTGGGATGAAGTATTTAGTAGACAATGTACTAATATATTAATTTAATTTCCTCTAGCATAGCAATTTTAACATCTATTTTAAAGTTAGCTCTTGCTGATTTTCACATGTGAAGGAATATTTAACAACAAATGTGTTTTACAATCTGAAGGAAAAATCGGATTTCCGCCATAAATAATGAAGCAATGTAAACCACTCTGAACAAAATAAACACTTTGAAAAGAATCTGTGCTCATAAAGAAGATATACCGGAGTTCCAACATAGCGTTGTCTTCTAAAGATGGGAAAATTAGCACACTTTACAAATATTTTATATTATGTTCATAACGTTTATTGATTCTCAAATGTTGTTGTTAATGATAATACCTTTATAATCCATGAGTTGTGTAATATGTAATATATAGTTTATATTCAGTCATGTTTCAAATGTAATGCACCAGAAAAAAATTGTACATATTGAGGAATATTGAGAATAATAAAATGTATATTCGTAAATTATACAAAATGGTTGTCTCCTTATTCACCGTTGTTCCTTTAGATTTAATTGAAAGCAGTAACAAAGTCTAAATAGAAAAAGTGGTCTTTGCACGTGTGACACTTTAAACGAGTGTTATTAGGCCGGTATTGGAAAGATGGTCTTATTGCATGTTAGCTTCTAACAAAAAAAGATATAGAATATGAAGGAAATTAATTTTGTGGACTGATACATACTAGTACGTATTTATGCGCAAGACTTTCAACAGGCTTCCGCACATACATACATACATACATACATACATACATACATACATACATACATACATACATACATACATACATACATACATACATACATGCATGCATGCATGCATGCATGCATACATTCATGTGCACACGTACATGCACCAGATACATGTACACGAATTAAAGGAGTCTTATGGAACGGGCGTACAAGCAATTACTCGCATCAAATATAAATGCCGGCCATTTTGTATATTGCAAAAATGATTATGAAGACTATATGGCGGTGAAGATGGCATAAATAATGACTGTAACGTTTGAAGTTTTATTAGTAAAAACAAAAACCACTGACATTACACAATACAAGATAAACAAGCAAAGCAAGGAAGAAATTTAAATATAGTAATATAATTTTAAAGGCAGTACTACTAACCTGCTGTTTATTGTATTGCTATAATTTTTGTGGCTCTTTTCCAGTCCAGTGACATTATTCCCTCCCTACAATTAATAAATGGTGGTTTTGAAACCAACAACGCAGAAATAAACGGCCAGACAAATGGGATCTTACTGCAGAGTGTCTGTTTGAGGAACTGTCCTTGGATAAACATAATCACGTCCATTTAAAAACGTTACTTGAGCGAGATGACCGAACTTCCCTTCGGTCGCTACATGTCTGCGACAAGATGCCCCTGTGCTAGCCATCACCATCAACTGCCACACTGCAGGTATCGTAGCGATGTGACTGAACAGTTTAAAAGCTACGTTAAAAGTTCAAATCAAATACACTCGCTCTTCCTTCGTTGAGGGAAATGACATTGGTCTCTCATGGCAACGGAGTGGATCACTTAATAACCAAAGGGAAGTAGCCCGTCTCTTCTTTCTAACCTTAGAAGCACAGTGAAGTTTTGCTAAGTCTTATTCTTCGCAAAACGAAAAGGACAACCGTCCGTGCGTACACATGCGGTACATGATAAGAAGGTAGAATGTTCCAAGTAATCTTTTTTCTGACCGCATTTCCACTCGCCTCGGGGCATCTTGAATGCTGAAAGAAATACAAGAAATAATTAACCGGAACAAAACTTTCCTAGGTAATACTTACCCTAACACCGATTACTTTGGGAGGGATTAAAAGAAAGAACAACTGTTTCCAAACGAGTTATAAAATCCCTCAATTTAAAAAAAAAATAGTTAAGGAGAATATGTTCAAGGTCTGGAGCGAAAATATCAAATTCAACACAAAAAGAATACCACTGACAATAAAATTACTGAAAGACAGCTGATATGATACTTATATTATACAAAGCATTGCGTGCTCAGGAGACACGTGAGTAATGACGTAACCCAAGAGGCAATATTCCAGTTTCCAACCCAAGTAACTTAATGATTTTAGAGCAATCTGCTGTCGCATCACTTATGTCCCCACTTTTACAGCATTCGATACATTTTACACCTTCATGTCTAGTTTGCATGATATGAACTATCAGATAGTGTCGGTTTTCGAGAAAGGTTGTCAAATAAATCAACTTCCAAGGTGAATGTGCAGAGTCTCTCTGTTCCCCTTTAACTGCAGTTGCCTATCGTCTTATCGTCTTCTTCATCTTTTCGAGGAAAAAAAATTGCTTAGTATCCATCAAGAAACGCCATAGAGAATCCCTCACAAATATTCTGAAGTTGTCTATTGGCTCCACCATGCCGGAAGACTCACTTCTTTCAGAACTCATCAATTGTTTTTCAGCTCCAGAGACCAGACTCTCGCTCTTTTGTTCCTAGGAGAAACCATTAGTGTGTTCTTTGGTTATTATCTAAACCTTCTTGTGAACCTTTAAACGATTTCTTCTTGGAAAAAGTTTGTTTTAAGACAGTCGTCTGTTTCTCTTGCTTCGGCGAGGAGGATTCAAATCAATGTCGTGTCAGTGGAAAATGGGTGGTTACGGTTTAATAATAATGATTCGGTGTCTCTTCGTTATCAAGCTGTTTTTTTTCTTCTGGCTAAAATCAGCGTCCCCGGGTAGTTTGTTTTCCTAGATTCCCATTCATTTTTGTATCTGTGCTGGGTATGATTAGCTCAATTAGAGCATTAAGTTTTTCACTGTCTACACCAACGAAATATGTCCATTGTTATCACTTTCAAATGTACCTGATATATTTCGGCGCCCACAGTTTCGAGAAGAGAGATTCTGACTATTAAAGTAACTTGTCAATCTCTCACTGAGGGGAGATTTCTTTCAAGAAAGTCTAAGTCCATGCAACCAGGGCTAATGATTCATCTTGGGATTTTTTCCGCTGGATGATGCAAAAACCAAATTCAGGTGGTCTCATTCCACCTTCGATCTATGTGGCACCAAAGTGAAAGAATTACTAGTTTGTCTAAATACGTTTTGATTTTGGCAGCTTTTCTTATGTTTTCTTCCTCCTACTGGGCTGACAAATTTGGCAAAGCAAAACTAGCAGTTAATAATATATCGATGCTCTTAAAACTATTTTCAAATATATGATACATGCTACTGTTATATATAAGTGTGTGTTTGTCTGCCTGTCTGTGTGTGTCTGTGTGTTTGTATAAATTCCGACAAGTTTAATCAAGCCAATGAAGCTGAAAATATGTAACAAGATTCTGTTCAAATCTGTTCAAAACGCTTAATAAATATTAGCTTTAGTTTCAGACTGATTTTATAATAACTCTCTCGGCCGTGACTGACTGCCCCTCCCCCATGAAAAATCCATGATACCCACCCACCCCGGCAAACAATCCTGTAGGGCGCACATGCCGTCAGCGTTCTATCGTTTTCTATTCTAGTAACTAATTTGAGGGAGGAATGTTGTTTTTTAGACTGTAAACGATGTAACCGCGCAATAAAAGTAGTTCATTTTTTTATTATAGAATTAATATTGCTCCGGTATTAGTACTCAATGTTTTTGCGCTAAGTCAATTCATATCAAAGGATAGTTATTGCTATATACATTCCCTCATCCTCATTTCTTTGTACACAATTATAGGATAGTTATAGAAGTGTATGAACAACTGCAGAGAATAGATACATGAGAATCGTGCAGACAGAAGGTCATGTCCTTACACTACTTAGGTACAATAAGGGCACAAAAAAGTCATGTCCCTGCATCATTTGAAGTAACAAGGACAAAAGAACGTCATGCCCTTGCATTATAGAATGTAAAATAAAGACTAAATAAGTTTCTGTCCCTACAATATTTGAAGGTACAGTAAGGACAAAGCAAGGTCTTGTCCCTGTGTCATTCGAAGTAACAACAATAAAAGAAAGTCATGTCCCTGCACCATCGAAGGTACAATAAGTACAAATAAAGATAATATCCACGAGATGAAATGCCCCACGCCAGCAAAGGTATAACAAGGACAATCCTCGAAGTCAATGATAAAATGAGATGAAACGTACTCACGAATTCGTCAAACGTACTTACGAATTCGTCAAATAATCTTTTATAGAACTTAAAAGATTCATCATTGATATGATATTTCTAGAGAGGTGTAACGTTTATGCTAACACATATGTGAAGTGATCTGACAACACAAATAAACAGTTTTATCAACAGCTCTTGCTGGTGTATGATAATACTAGAATAAATATAAGAATTATATCGAATTATAAATTTCAGCACCAACACACTCGTGTAGGAATACGCAAATTAAAAAAAATCGGCAGTTACAGCTAAGAGTTAATTTTCACACCAGCTCATTCCTCTAAGAATAAGATTAATTTAGAAATGGATAACTGAACACTACACATTCAATTTACAGAAGCAAGAGAGTAAAAAATTCCTTCAAAAGCGTTAAGAAAGTTATGTGAATGACCAGTGTCAGATAGACATATTTGACATTCCAGCATATAAAAAATACTCGGAATTCACATTTTCTCACAATGTTAACAAATAAAAAATTGAGAGACGACATACACAGTGCTTTTATACGAATCCTCTGAAAGGAAAATCAGAAAAGAAGATGGAATACTCTAATTTTAAAGCAGGAAATTGTTAATGGAAAGTCTAAGAAAACTTTGTAATGTGGAAGCATATAAATCAAAATGAAAACTGAAAAATAGGTTTGTTACCATAACCATCATAAAAAAATGAAAAGTCATGTCTCCAGTTAAAG